GGGATGCCTGGAGCTGCAGGAGGGGGGGTCCAGTGGGACACCCCCCTTAAGGGAGAGCCCTGAGTGGGGGGATCGGGCTGGGGGGACACCCCCTTTCTATCAGAAACCTGTGCTGAGGGGCCTTTGGTTGGGGGGGGGGCATCTCTGCTTTTTTGGGGGATGAAGGGGGGCATTTTTAACCCCCTGCTCCAAGAGGATTAGGCCCTCTCCCTCCATTCTCCGGCTGGGGGGTCATGGGGACAGCGGTGCTGCCTGCCTGGGGTGACAGCGGGGGTGACAGCAAGGGACATCCCTTTCATGGGGACATCCCCATCCTGGAGTGGCCTTCATCATCCCCACGAGGTGCTCACCGCTAAATTTGGGTGCTGAGCCCCTGCTCTGGAGGAAAATTGGGGTTCTCTGAGGATTTGGGGGGAGGGAGGGATGAGAGCCCTCCCTGCCCTCATCCCGCCGGTTCCCCGTGTCTTTCCTCCCCCAAATCCCTGCTCCGTGTCTGGATGCCCCGCGGCGGGTGCCAGCTGGCCCCTTCTGCGGGCCCCGTTATAGTAGGTACTATTTTGGAAAGAGCAGAAGACACCGAAGCAGTTAATGAGGAGAGAAATACGTTAGCGGAGAAACTCCTGGATCGGGAGGAGGAGGAGGAGGAGGAGGCTGGGGGGATGCACATTTCGCTGCCCTAATTGATCCGGTGCCATCCTGGTCCCCACGCACCGGCAACATCCACCCGGTGCCTCAACTTTCGCCGGGAGGCTCCAAGTTACACAATCACCCCGTTATTAACCTCCTCCCGCCATGGCTTCCATCATTGCGGGCCTCTGGGAAGGAGCGATTTCCCAGGAATGGTTGTAATCCGTGGACATGGAGCTGTACCCACCACCACGCTGCCATCTCTCCCTTCCCCTCTGGATGTGTCCGAGCGATTTTTTTTTTTTTTTTCCCCCCCCGTTTTTTTTTTTTTTTTTCTTCTTTAGCCTGTCATGTGGCCGATCACATGTTTGATGTTAATAACCTCAAACCCAGGGAAAGGGGATCCGGGTGGCAGCCGGAGCGTGGAGGCCCCTCAGGCTCGGGGAAGCTCCGCACGGCAGGGAGGGTGKTTTTTTTTATTTTTTTGTGGGAATAATCCCGGAACGCTGACGGATTTGGGGGATCCGGGGGTGTTCCCGGAGCCRTACGTGTGGCGTGGTGATTTGTAGGTCTCCGGGCAGCCGGAGCGGCCGGTGCTGTCCGTAAATCTCCTGCTAAATCCCAGGCAGCTGCCTGTGTTTAGGTTGGCCTTGTTCGGGAAAGGTAATGTCAATGCAGCCATTATGATTCAGCTGAGTCGGCCCAATCCGACTGCTTTCCCTGCTCCTGGAGCTTCCAAAATTTGGGAATCCCTCTCAGGGATCCTCTCAGGGGTTTTGGCAACCCTGTCATAACCTCGTGGTCCGCAGATTGTGGTCATTAATCCCTCTCCAGGTGGGTTGGAGGCTCAAGGCCTGCTCTCTCCGTGCTCCAGCGTTCCAAAATCCATGTGAACTTCCCAAAGATTGTCTCTTATTCCCCCGGGTGCACTGTGGAAATTTAGGGGAGAAATATCTCCTTCTGCGGCCGGGATTATTGTTTAAAGGTGGTGACATTGTTCGTGGTTATTAATAATTAAAAGCAGAAGATAAAAGCTCATTTTGTTCCGTGGAAAATGCCTGCAATTAAGTAGGATGTGGAATTTTAACTATGTTTAACCTATATATTTACATCTCCAGGGCCCTGCAGAAGCCTTAACTGTAATTACATTTAGTCAGAGGAAATGCAATTTTGGGCTAAAACTTGTACTGAGGCAGCTTCGTTATTAAAATCTTGAATTTTGGGATGCGTCAAGGATTGATTTTTATTAAAATCTTGAATTTTGATGTAGGCCAGGAATTGCTTTTTTTAAAAATCTTCAGATTTTGGGTGCTTCAAGAACTGGTTTATATTAAAATCTTGATTTTGGGGTAGGTCAGGAGTTGCTTTTTGTTAAATCTCAGATTTTAGGGTTTGTYRGGAGTTACTTTTTATTAAAATCTCRAATTTTGAGGCAAGGATTGCTCWTTGTAGCCCAGTTTTAGCAGGAAACTGATGGTTGATGGTGATGGAGACCATTAATATCCAAACCTGGCATTCTTTGTAATTTGGGAAGGTTCTGCTGGGAATCTGAGGGATTAGAGGGTCTGGTTGTCTGCATTAACCCAAAATTAGATTTGAATGATCTGGTGGATCCATGGAATTGACTGATGGATCCACATCCCATAAAATCCTCATTATTCAGGCAGGTGGGAACGATGCTTTGCGCTGCTGCAGTGGATGGATCCTGGAGCTCGGGGTGTTCCCCCTCTCTGTGTCCCTTTAAAACAAACCTTTTTGAGATTTTGCTGCATTTTTTGGTTAAATTTTGTCACACTAGAAGGTGTGACATCCTCTGGGAAGGATGGAGAATCCTTTTATCTCTGACACCTGACAGTGCCAGGAGGTGACCCAGCTCTCTCCATGTGCATTTRCATCCATGACAAATCCTTTAAAAACCCAGGATATTGGTATTTAGACACCAGGCCAAGCTGGAGCAAATAATCCCCTGGAATTTTTCTCCCKCTTGTGTTATTATTTTGTGTATCATGGATAAAACGTTGGGAAGCTGCTGAGCTGGGATCCAGTGCCCTCTTTTCAGCAGTGGTGTTAGAATTCAGAGACATCCCTAATTCCCACCCTGTTTCCTAGTGCCTGGTTGGGATTCCTGAAATGAATTCCTGCTTTTTTGAGATGGGCTAAAAACCAGGAATTGTGGTGTAAAGCAGGATGCTGTAGCCAAAAGTGTCCTGGAAATGGGTGGATTTTCCAAATTTGTGCTTTTGCTGTCCTTTCCTAAGGACTTTCAGGCCCCTTTCTGCATGTCCAGTTTGTTTTTTTTCCCCAATTGAAGACATTTAAGATGTGTGTGAGAATTTTAAACCCCATGTGTGATGCTCCCTGAAATGTCAGTGTCCACTTCATGTGGGAGCCTCTGGGATGTGTTTGAGTAGGGAGAGGAACTTGGGAAAAGGGTCWGGACAAAGGGAAAAGGATTCCAACTGCCAGAGGGAAGGATGTTGGCGAAAAATCCTTCRCTTTGAGTGTGGTGAAGGGTTGGGRTGGAWTTCCCAAAGGAGCTGTGGCTGCTCCATCCCTGGGAGTGCCCAAGACCAGCTTGGAGCACCCTGGAGGTGTCCAGGGAGTGGGACTGGMTGTGATTTAAGATCCTTCCACCCCAAACCATTCCATAATCCACAATTCCGTGCTGTCACTGCTCTGTTTCACACCCAGCCAGGATTCCTGGGGACACGGGGGAGCTCCTGGTTCCTTCGGAGCGTGGCGGAGACGCCGCTGGAGGCACCGAGAGCGTTCCCACGGGGTTTGTTCAGCGAGGCTCCCGYGGGAGCCCAAACCCAACGTCAGATCAATCGCTGCCTGTTCTGGTTCATCTCTCTGCCTGAAGATGCTTTTGGGGGATGAAAAATGTTCAGCTTTCTACCCACCTTGTTTTTAATATCGGCTACAACTCTTTATAAATTCCTTTTTAATATCAGCTACTGGATTTCCTCCAGGTTGGGAGCTGTCGGGAATTTTCATCATGATCCGAAAATCAAAGTGGCTTTTTCATTGAGGAAAATCTTAAATATAAAGGAAATTGTGGGGTTTTAAACGCACTGGTCGGTTTGGATTATTTAGTGTTGATGTTTTGTAGGAATTAAGGAATACCCAGAGGGAAAAAGGAGCTGAGAAAATGGCTAAAAATGGAGTAAAGGCCAAGGTCCATGTGCTCGGACCTTGGGATGCCAAGGGAAAAGTGTGAATGCCACCAGGGTCAAGACGTGGAGGGGGATCCCTAAAAAGCAAGTTGTGTCATAATACAGCAACTTGGCTGGACAGAGAGCTSAAGGAGGTGTGGGGTGAGGCAGTCCTTAAAGCAGGAACTCCTTGGGATCCCTTGAATTGCTTGGGAATGTGGGATTTTGGGAGRGTTTCCAGAAATCCCCCCCAAAACAGGTGTCCAAGTAATTCTGGTATTATTATKGTATAAACAGGAAAGATGCTTTGTTATCCATGAATGGGATGTGCTGGAAAAGGGGCCAGTTTGGGGTTGTGCCAGGCTTGGGGCTGATTTTGCTGGATATTGTKGCRTTTCATCCCAAAAATGAATCCAAAYTGAAATATCTTGGGATAACACAAGCTGTTCCAATCCAGCTCATTCCTGGAGCCCTGAGATGCCCAACAGAGCCAGAGGTGCCTCTTTTTGGGCTCCAACTGCCAGATCTATGGATCCTGGGATATATGGATGCTCTGCTGTGCTAATTAACGTGCTAATGAATGTGCTAATTAACAGAAGCGCTGGTGGCAAACACCAAACCCAGCGCCAGCCTTGGGCACAAAACCCCATTATGGAACAGCAAAAAGGCATCAGGACACATGGATAGGGCTGGGATTTATCCCTTTTCCTCTGGGAATAACCCCAGCTGCCTCAGATGGGTTCTGGAGGTCATGTCCCTCCACATTTCGCTGTTGAACGTTGAATTTCCGGATATCAGGCTGGGAAAGGTTAATCCCCTTTTCCCTGCTCGAGGCCGTGAAGGGCCTTGTAGCAATAAATGAGCTTGGATTAATCAGMTACCGTGCCAAAATGGTATTTTTTTATTTAACGAGAGGTGTCAGAGTGGAGGGGAGTGGGTTTGGGGCTGCTCTGGCTGCAGGGGAAGGCAGGAGGAGGGAAAGCTGTTCCTTAGGAAGTAGGGCAGGGTGCTGGCTTAAAATAGCTCCGAGCTCTGGGCTGTGCTGAAGGAGCTATTTAGGTAAATCCTGGGGTCTCAGTGGGGGCAGAGCCGCCTGCTAATCTAAAGATACTCCTCGGAGATCTATATTTGTCCGGGATCCTTCCCGGCTTGGCCGGTTTTCCAGGTATTCCCTGCCCGATCCCGCCGGGGATGGCATTGGGTGTTTACGGGACGCCGATGGCTCGGATCCTAATGGAATTAGACATCGTTAAGCAGCAGGAACGAGGGAACGGGCTACGTAAAGACATCAACATGATCCTATAATGCAAGACTTGGCTCTCAGTGGCTCCTGGAGGCCGGGATCGCYGTGCCAAAGGGGCACRTTCCGGTGGCACCGCGGARCCRGGTYGGGTGTGGAATCTCAGAATGGTTTSAGTTGGAAAAGGATCTTTAAATTCTTCTCTTCCCATCCTCTCTGCCAYCTTCTRCTGTCCCARGTTGCTCCAAGCCCTGTTCAACCTGGCTTTGGAATTTGCAGGGATTCTGGAAAAACAGTGCAGATATCCTGGAAAAACCCTTCAGGACAGAGGGGATGGTGGAGGATGGAGAGTGGATGTTTCTGTGTCTAAAGCAGCAGGAAAAAGCAATCCCAGTGCAGATTTTGAGGATTTTYCTGGCAGGAGGAGGAGTGCTGGGCTATCCAGGCTGTTTTCCAACTTTTCCAGCCTCCAAAATAAAACCTCGCTGCTGTCCGGTGAGAGCATCAGGGCAGGGGTGGAACGAGGTGATCCTGAAGGTCCCTTCCAAGMCAAACCRTTCTGGGATTCTGTCATCTCCCTGTTTCCATGAAGAGCAGAGCTGGATGTAAACAGCCTTCCTGAGGAGYTTAGTGGGGGTTGTCTCTCCAAAATTCTCCATCATTCCACCCTCTGGGGCTTCCCTTTGCTRCAGTGGGCCTGTAAAATGTGAATTTAAAGCATTTTCCGTGCTCCAAGGTGGATCTGGGAAGGGTTCCCTACGTAAGGCAAAGCAGTTCAGGGTGAATTTCAGTAGAACAGGAAGAAGTGGTGTCATCCTAGATTGCTCCAGAAAATATTCCCTTTTATCAGCTGCTGAGCACAGCAAAACCTGGTAAAATGGCTTCTCAAACAGAATATTATCCCAAAGGTGATGTCTTGGAAAATTACCACRAGGGTTTCCTGGAGGAAGAGTCTGACCAGGGCACAGAGGCTGCAATTGCTGTTTCAGCAGGATTTGGAGGCTTTTCTCCTCCTGCTCCATCCCTGG